ACTTTGTGATGTGAATTTTGTTGTACATAGTATTGTACCAGATAAATATTAGATAAGTGATACTAACAAAGTCGGAATTTATCCTCACCCAGTTGCCATCACTAATGAGTCCACTATTATAAGTGCAAGTGATAGCAGCAGGACATTTTTTACAATCAATCTAGAGAAAGATGGATTTGTCCATACCCAAAAGATGTTTGGACAGTGACTTCAATGTGTATAAATAATGACAATCTTTATATTTCATATAAAGGATATCCAGGCGGTGTATTGTTTATCAACATGGAAGACCTTAGTGAGCACCAGCTTTTGATAAATGGTACAATAGAGTGTGTAGAGAGTTCTCACATCGCCAAATACAGAGAAGGAATTGTATTCAATGACACAGCTAGCCGTCAAGTAAAGGCTAAGCAACCAAAGAACAAAGCCATTGTTCTTGCTGGTAATGGTAATGAAGGCAATTCTGATGAAGTCTGTTGTACAAGGCTTTTTCTGTTCACTTGACAAATCAGCCTGTTTCCAAATTGTCTATACAACAGGCAATAGAACATGTATCCACTCTTAATGATTATTTATTGAGGGCAGAAGATGCAGTCAGGCAATCAACAGGGTTCCGTGGAAATACAAATGGGCCAGAAGGAACTGTTTCTCACAAAACTAGGTTATCTGTCTCAATGATACTTGAGCAGTTGAGAGAATTACAGGATTTTATACAGACAATTAATGTGGGATACAGAATAGATCTGTTTGACTGTACAAGCTGAGAACCTTCATGCTGTTGGCCACTTCAAAGACCAGTTTTCATTTGTTAACATTATGCCAGAAATCTATCTAATACAGTTTATGGAATTTTAAAGAGGGTTGTTCTATGGGCAGCATACTATTTCATAAAAGAAATCTCATATTACCCAATCAGTACTCAAGTTATACCTTTGAATAATTTCCCAAAACTACATCAATCAAAGGTACAGATGTAAGAATGGGCTATAGAACATGGACAATGTGTGAATCAGAAAACAGTGAAGCAGGAAACTACACAATTCAATGCTGGTACATTACCACTGAACATGAAAAGAGTTTCAACAAGAGCAAGTAGTATTTCCAGATGTCACTGAACAACCACATGTTGAGCCTGAGATACGTGAGGGGAATATCCATTCTGTGAAAGAGATGCCGACTGGTATGGGGAGTGATTCTGAACAAGAATCGGAATATGACACGGACACAGACTCTGAGTTTACTCCCGTGCCTTCAGTGACTTCTTCAGTCCTAGACTTGAACAATGATGCACTTACATTTATGAGAGCAGTAACCACACAAAAATGGGCGTATGATAAAAGTTCGGTCATATGTAGACTGGTAATTGCCCAGATTGTCAATTACGGACAAGGCATATATAAATATGTTGATGTCTTTATTGTTATTTAGAGCCCTCATCTCGTCAATTGTACCGTTAATCATTATAAGCTACAATTCAGATACATTTTGTTCATGATCTGTGAATTAGCAAATGTATTTCCTGTGAATTGTGATTTGCCAATTTTAATGCCTGTGAACTGTGATATGTACCCCCTTCTCCCCTCATAATCGTTTGAATACAACGTGTTAATTACGGCATCACTGGGCATATTAGAACTGGATTGAATCTTGTCAACAAATAGTGTTATATAGAATCGGATGTTGATTCATTAACTATATTATTACTAGTAAATCACAGGCTTGCGTGCTTGGACCAATTCCTTTTGTGTCGTTTACATTGATGATATCTATCATTACAATAGTTGCATATCGCGTCTGTGTCTGACTGTTGATATCCAAAAAAATAATATCTCGCCAGTGACAGGTTTAATTTTATCTCGCGATATGTAAAGCTATGAGATTTGGTAGTGGCTACACACATTTTACTTACGCGGTATCTGACTAATGATGGCACTGTTACCCTTGATATTACAGGAATATCCTGGGGTATGGGTGGATTCCAAGCATTACATACAAGAAACATATTTGCGGGACAGTAGCCAAGACAAGGTGGATTTTTCAGTCACCATAAAATCTTGTTTGAATGCTCACTGGTAAGATATAGTTCTGACTGATTGTTGAACGATTCTCTCCTCGCTGAACTTCGGTCTCTCTGGCTTTCATTACCATGTTGACAAACTATCAATATTCAAGTAATTATTATCATATAGCTCGAGAGTATGTGGTTGACCTGCAAGAATTTGTATAGCATAGCCCAGATCGAAATGAGAGCTTTGCCATACCCTATGCTCATTACTCTTGTTTGTCAGAAACTTGACAATGCAAAATTGCTATTAAAACCACTTCAAGTTGAAGTTGAGTGAGTTGGATATCTGCTTTTTGTTAAGTGTTCTGTAACAACGACATCGAGTATGATTACGTGCATCAATCATTACAAACAGACATCTAAGTGCACGTATGTGGATATCAATGTGTCCTTGGAAATGTGGGAATAAAAACAGCATCGCCTGGAAGGTCTTTCATCTACGATGTGTGTAAATGACAAAAATTGCGTGTTATGGTTATGTTACCTATATTCATACGAACAAGTATTGGATATTATCACGGCTTTCTTCTCCATCATCAGTTTTGTTTTCATACACATGTTTGCATTTCCGGTAAATATAATTATATACTAACATTTCGGTCCCTGTGCTTGTTACGAGTGTTTTAACAATAAGCACTTTTGACATGTGGAGGTTTCCCGGCGGTTTTCAATGTTTTCCCTTAAATTGAGAGCAGTTTGTAATATGTGTGTTCTAGTTTCGAATACTTATATGATAGGCAATTTTATTAAGAGACATAGTCACGACAATATATCTAACATGTTTGGCAAACATTTAGTAGCACTTTGGATAAATAATAATTTAATTATAACTAAAGCCCTGGGTGGCAATTATGCATATTGTCACAAAGCTGGCTCACGTACTGTTGATTACTGTATAACTACACAAGGCTGATATAAGCTAATAACATTTTTAAAATCAATAACACTCAGATCACTGTCCGATTGGCTTTTGTTTTTCAGTAGGTCGTGATGGCAGTAGTACGCACGATAACAATTTAGACCCCTCAACAAAATATATTTGGAACGAAGATTTATAACATATTATGACAACACAAATTTGAAAATTATTTCAAAAGTGTTTACCTTGTGAATCAAATGAAATGGATATAAATAAAACTAGAGATTATCTCTGAGATTTACCAATTTTAGCAGTGTGGATAGTTGCCTTAAAAGGTATATCGGAACTTAAATCACTGTTAACCTTTAATCTAAATTAATTAATTGCCTAAATAATATGTTGACTGAATAAACTTCAGTTTGGGTTTAGAAAACAGAAGCGATCAATATATAAAACACTGTATAGTAAATATGGAAATGACTGACAATTGAAAGAGATTCGTTTGTATACACTGCGTTTATTGTGTTTGGAAACAAATAATATTTCTAAAATTACAAAACTTTTAAATTAGTGATAAAATACATATAATTATCAAATCAATGTAACATAACACATGCAGTTAAACTAAATAATAGAATTACAAAAATGTTTGGTTCGATTTGTTGAGTTAAAAAGGGTGTTCAAATTTACTTAATCAACTAAAAATATTTGGTGAAATTCAAGATAAGTCATTTATTCTGTGTAACAGAAATCAGAATATTCTGATCTGCTTTCTGTGTTCCACATTACATGAAGCTTGCAAACTTGTATTAATGTGAAAATAACTGGAAGTTCGGTTAACTATTCAAATTCGAGTTAGTAAACGTGGACTTTCAACAAGAACAAAAATGCATTATGCCCGTAACTTGAAGTTCTGTTAATTGAACATCGAGTTACAATTTGGTCATAGGTTTACAAAATATGGGCGTGGTCATTTTTGTTTTCGTAACTCAAACAGTTCAGCATCTCAATGTTATTTCAAAATAAAATAATTGAAGTGGTCAATTTGCTTACACATATACAATATTGACTTTGTTACTTAATTTGGTGGATTTTGTGTAATAATTGCTGTTGAATGAAATTACACTTGGTTAATTAGATTCTGTAAATACCTAGCGTATTTTACCACCTATTCATTCTCTAAAATTTGTGCTTGGTTTAACGTAATGTGATTACGTAATTTCAAAAAAAAAACATGCAAAAGAAATCGACAATTATGGTTACATAAAAACTGTTTTATTACACAGATTGAGTAGAATCCATGGCCATCTATTCGTTTATGAAAACGTAACTTCGCGTAATCAGGTAGGATCTATTTTGGGAATATAATCATCACTGAAATCGAAATAGGTGAAGGTTAATAATACTTTTGTTTATCTTTAGATAATATACTTTATCTTAGATAATAATTTAATTTTCTTCCCAATTTGAATGGTGATATATTTCGTTCGAAGTTGTCTTGACACTCGAAAACATGCGCTATTATGTTATATGGGGTGTTTGTATTTGAAGTAACATTGAACGTGTTGTAGGAGATTTAACTATTTTTGTTTAGAGTTACGTTCAACATTTTAAATACACGTTAGTTCTCAGTTGTCTCCTATGGTTGTTTTCAACGGCGCCTGTAGAAAATGTTATGGCTCCAGCTTGTGAACAGTGAACAAATCGCTTCATTTAAATATTTATTGAATTAATGTATTACCATAACACTGACAAATAGGTTTGATCGTATCGACCATGTGTGGCGATCTGACACTGCGTACAATATATACGTATGCGGTGTTATGGCGGTAATCTTATTGTACATCCCCTCTATTGGTAGTCATAATACAGTGAGGGATAACGTCCCCAAATAACAGCGTGTGTCGTGATTCACGTGTTACATTTAATTGTTGCTGTGACTAATTTAAACAAGGAAATGACGTCGATATGACACACATTTTGCAAATAAAAATTTCAAACACTGTTATCAAACTGCTCAACGTTTTCGATTTTAGATGTATGATAACGTTTTTATCTTGTTTGTTATTAGCATAATTATCTTGCGTTCTCAGTCGTTGTCTGTGTTTTACCATTGTGGACGGTTCGACTATGACTGTTACTGCCACTCGCCACTGTTTCTATGCCTATTGGTTGTATTCGCGATTCCCGGCACTTATAAAAACATGGAAATAATTTCTTAAATTCTTTCCTGAAACTTTCATTAAAATAGGCATAAAGAAAAGGATTGATCCAGCTGTTACAGAGAAAGATGAAAATTGCCAAATTTGCAGGGACAATGGACCATATAAATTCGCTTCTTGGAAATGTCTCAGACCAAGTGAAGTAGAATTGTAAGGTGTGATTTGGCAGCCATGTCAGCGCAAACTGTAGAACTACCAAACATAGCATTTTTACAGCTTTCTTTTTATTCCGGCTGCTGGCATTCGTTGGTGATTTGCTGAACCATAAGGTGACGACCATTATCGAGTACAGAATTGTTAATAAAATAAGAGGCATTACATACATAAAAAGAAGGTCAGTTAAGCGAAACCAGAAGTCGGTGTCTTCATCTACCACATAACACATAAACGTAACCTCATATACTGTACTATTGTGATCACCAAGCGTCTGAACATCTGTAATGACGTCATTTACAAACAGTTTGAACGACGAGTAGCCCAGTGAGCACACCCAAACGACTATACAACCAAACGCAGCATGTTCCACAGACAATTTGGGTTTCATAGGCTGCACAATGGCACGGTAACGGTCTGCGCCAATACATACGAGTGAGAAAGTGGTACCGCATTGAGCTGCCCAGTGAAGGTAACCCAACAGTTTGCACAACACACTACTCGATATTGGCAGCTTGTAGGCGAAGTGTCCAACGTGATAAGGAATGAAGAAGATGGCTATCATTAGATCAGATACCGATAGCGAGACAATAAACAGGTTTGTGGCCGAGTTTCTCAGTTTGGGTTGTCGAAACACAGCGATGATCACCCACACATTGCCTATAATGATCAGTAACATAAATACGACTCCAAATGCTACTGTGACCGCTGGTGGCGTATTCAATTTTGCAGCTCTTTCAATCAAATCGTCGTAATCGTAAGAGTTGCTTTGGGATTCGTATTCTTCACTTCCATGTTCTATATTATAATTATTGTCCATTTTGGTCCATTCGATCTGTGAAAATAGAAATGAGCAAATATATAAAGACTGGTTAGATGGTTAAAATTCATATATACTCCGTATCATATTTTATATTCAATATGTTGAAGGTTAAAATTTAGATGTGTTGTAAATTACAATGTAGATGATATTATTGACGATGTGATGGTTGGTATTACATATACATGTTAAAAATACTGTTTTTACTGTGAAAATTGCTGTGTTACATGTACTTAGGGCTTGACACAATGAATTAAAATTAAATACAAACACGTACACATAGAAATTAATACAAACGTAAAATTGCATGAGGGATTGGAACTGGCGGTCACTGCACAAAATCTCCTGGTCACACGACCCAGCATTACTTACATTCAGCAAAACCCGAACTTATTCCACGCCGAGAACGTATAACACGACACAGCCAATTTACTACACATAGCATGTATGTACAACAACGCTTATATAGACTGATTTTTTGCGATATGATTTTTGCAACTCGAAATCCATCGTTATTATTAGCTGGTATATAAAATCCCAGCTTATGTCACAGTGATCGTCAGTTGTGGCGTTAGGGTCATGGTAGTTTCATCCTGTTTTAAGACTTAATTGAAACATATGGTGTGTTTTTTTTTTAAAGAATGACGCTAAAATAAAACAAGTAGAACAATGGGGGATACGTTATTGAGGTATTCGAGAGGGGATTACTTTTTTGACTATTGTTATGCTAATAGCGACCCAATAACTCATTATCCATATATGTACATAACCATATACGGATTTAGGACAGGCTATTCTATCGTTTAACATTATACCCACTCATGATTGATCAAATGCCGAGAGAAACATGCGCGTACACAGTATGTGTGCTTGTTATGTGTAATATGCAATATTCTCAAGGCTAAGTTCTTAACGCTCAAGACAAGACTGCACATTTTTTTGGCGAGGTCTGTCGTTGAGAAAATGACCATTTTTTGTTAACGTGAAAGCTTTTGGAAATTTCCTGGGAAGTGTAGAGAACATAGCAATAAAAGATTACGGGAAAGAGGGCAAGAAATGTACATATAATAATCAATGATTCACTACTATTGGGTTAAAAAAATATTTACGATCATACAAAATTAATATAGTGTTCATGGCTATCCGTTCGACCCCGTACTGACCTTCACTGCTGTTGCGACGTCTTGAGCCGAGAAACGTAAGGCTGAATTCCCCGGTTTCAATTAAAAGTGGCTACACTCAATCCATTGATTAGGCATGCACTCGACCACAACGGCAAGGAAGAAAATAAATTTTCGATTTTACGCATTATGGCTACACAACGTGACAGAAAGTTCTTCTATGTGATCTAATACATGTATTTGTAAACAATCTACTTGTATTTGCACACGACTCCCAGTGCCTTCTCCTCGAGCAGACATTAATGTTTCACATTCGTTTTTGCATGGTTTTAAATAAATAAAACGAAGCATTCTATTTTATTCAATGTTTATTTTCGTTTGATATTTTTAAACAAAATATGCAGTCATTAAATATGTTTTCCGAACGAGGACAAGGAAGGCAAAATGACGGTAGTCTTAAGATCGCGATCGCGATCTTCGGTTTGTATCAAAAGTACGACTCACAAATGAGGTCTTTTTTTCGAACGATAATTTGATAGGAATTAAACAAAATTCAATCGTTGGCGTGTGTAAGGGCTGGACCACTATCATTGGCTCCAAGTCCGGACCGGACATTAAACCGCGATGTTTTTATTTTCTTTCTTTTTTTCTGGATATTGTGCAGACAACTTTGCAGTTGTACGAAATTAATCAATTTCTCTATATTGATGTTTTGGGCATACTCACTGTGTTTTATTTGTTATTTTACATGTTCACGTAGATTTAATTATTTGTCAGCGAAAATAGTGAAATAAAAACACGGTGAATAACTAAAGCATTATTCAAGGCGCAATAATTTGGATGTATGGACACATAATGTTTTTGATTAAATAAACTATCGACTGTCAAAAAAGCTATTTATTTAATGAATTTGTTTGTAAACATAAATTTTTAATTTTATATTGTTAATTTATAATTATGATGATAATCATTATTTAATAATACAAATTAACCTGAAACATCATTACAGTTGTCTTTACAATGTACGTGATGTATACCCTAGTCCCTGGTTAGTATAACAAAATATATGATAATTACAACCTAAATTTGCATATTATTTATTATGCTAATTCAAATGTTATGTAAATTATCCGAACTGTTAAAAATAATCCTGGGAAAAACACTGTTAACATTCTGATTGTAACTGAAAACTCCGCCATTTTGTTTGGTTGATAATACTCGTATTCACACTCTGTCTATTCTATGAAGATTTAAGACTATTTATACCTTTAGCAGTTATGTATTGTGTTTAGATACGTTTGTTATTTTTTTTTTACATTGGTGATTCATTTGTTTCGTTTGAATAAACTTATTTACAGAGTTTTTTGTCACCGGTCAAGGTCAAGATAGTTAAATATCGCCATCATGCTAGTTGTTCTGTGACGTCCATACTGTCATGAACTAGTTTTCGCGTATCTGTTGTCCGACTTATTTGGCTGATTACTAGTGAATGGCTGTGTTATATCTGTCATCATTTAGACTCATGCGAGGTCCTGAACGGAACTTGACTCAGTGATTTGGAACTAATTACGAGATAACCGACGCTATCCGGACCGCTATTTCTGACAGTTGGGTATTCGCAGTTAGTAATATAGTGAACGATTAATCAAAAGATATGACGTTTCCAGTACTTAGTGTGATTGGCTATGTGCAAATTGAATGTGTGAAGGTTACACCTTACAGTGTTTTAACTTTTCTGTAATTGGTTAAGTTTTAATACGTAATAAACGGTCTAAGCCCTTGGTCACAGAGAGAAAGAGAGAGAACTCCACGAGGCGAGGGAGTCTTAGTCCGGGGCAGAGGACTCCGCCGAGGCAGTTTGCCTTGATGCGTTCTCAATGTGGCTTAAGACTAGCTATTGAACGTATTTCGTTGTGTGCGTCTATTTGACTGAAAAGCTTAAGTGACTTTCCCGGTCCGGTACCTCAAGCAGACGTGATATAGAGACCAGATGATATTCCCCCCTGACACGTGTTGGAGAAACCCAGACCAGAGAAGAATTTTCCCCGTGATAATACTGTGAAAATTCTGGTATTATAAACTTTGAAATAGACACAATTTTCTATATCGACACATAACCTAGGTGCTAAGCAAGTTTTATTATAATCAATACTAGTCATTTCGGAGTATTCGCATCGTGTAGTTCACGTATACAGTGGGCTGAAGTAGACGTCGCAATCCCCCATCACGTGACTGCTGGGCTTAGCTGAGGTTTCGCAGCCCTTATTTGGACGTTTTTTCTGTTTTCTTTCTGATATCGACATGTAAAATAAGCACGGACAGCACATGCGTACTTATAGCCTAGACTGTGTCATGTGTACATTGACCCCGATTGCTCCCGATGTTAGAATACAGTGACGCACCATCGAAGGGCTGACTTAAAAACGTTAGTCGTAATCAAATTGTGATTTATGTTCGAAGCTTTTTTCATCCAAATTGCGAACAGTAAACATGGCCAAGACACCTCATCTGCGCATGCGTTCCTTGTGACATATTTGGTCCAAATTTCACATCGTGACTTGTGTAACGAAAATAGTAGTGTTTGGCGAAGCAAATATTAGACTTTATACTAATTTTATATATTTATATGAAATAAATACTTACACTAGCAACTAAATAGTTTTGTCACTATAATAAATAGGTGAACCTGATACCAATAACATTAGTAACACTTTTGCCACCTGAGGCCAAACTTTTTTTTATTCCTTGTTTCTCGAGTTTTTATAATAAAATGTTTTTGAGAAGGGCGGAAAAAATAAAATTAATTCTTTTTTTCACATTAGATTTGTGTGATTCTCAAAAAATTGTAAGTGAGACCATTGATCGGAGAGAAGAATTTTATTCCATGTATAACCTGGTTGGAAATGTCGCCAATTGGAGCACAATTTTCAGCATTAATGAGGGGTTGCTCGGTTTTTGAAGACAGAGTTTCAAGGCACAAACCACGCCGCCGCCAAGTTCGCCTAGTCGTCTCAAGCAGCACGCCAATACCCGCGATTCACTGTCAACCAACGCGATAAAGTATAGATCTGAAGGAGACTTTGTTACTTTGATCAGGATACTTCCAAAAAAATGCAACTTGGATTTGTTAGGCGACGGGCGGAAAAAAAAAGAAGATACAAATTATTTTTTTTAGTATTTTTTTGCACTCACAAGTCGGTGGGCGTGAGAAATTACGCTGAAATAAAATTTATTTTTTGTTTCATTTTCGGCTCCTGTTCATTCGGCGGGTTCGCGAAACAAGGGATAATAAAAGTCTAGCCTTACTCTATCGGTTACTGTCCTGAGATTGCCACACCTGGCCTCTTAGACTGGAGAAATTGTTAATGAAGATGTGCACATCTGACAAACCACAATGACGTTGACCTAAATTTGATAATCAAACTGAAGAACAGCCCCCTGTCCTGAACATGTGAATATTATATACCAGTAACATTTAACCTTGAATTGACATTCTCCCTCAAAATGTGGACAACACATCCTTAAAAAAACATTCTAATTGCCCATGCAAATAAGACAAATATTTGTGACTTGTCTTAGTATTAGCTATATTCAACTTGTTGGGCAGTTTCCCTTGTATTTCTGATATATTAATGTAATGTTTATGCAATCTGAATTCCCAGCGTCGAGATTGCTCAGCCAACTCTTAAGATTTAATGACGTGTTGATATCTACATATTTTGCGATTTCAACATTAAATAACAAGTTTATGCAGGCATCGAGTGATATATATCGATTCTGATTAATCCAAACACCCGCACCAGCTACACACAATAAATGAAAGACACTGTAATACTCATAACCATGAAGTTAATAGACTCTTGACCATGATGTTGTTGT